TAGAAAATACTTACATTTTATTAATAAGTATATAACTGCAACCTATTATCAAGTTAAATTGTTTTCTTTTATAAATATAAATCAAAAACACGTTTCCATGTGAGACTACTTTTTCCGGGCATTATTCTGTAAAATAACTCAGAAATACTAATATCAAGTATATAAATATATAATCACAACTAAAAAAGGAAACCATAAGGCTCCCTTCTAATAATAGAGCCATGTGTAACCACTAGCAAAACTATTCCTTAATGTAGAGTGTAATTCATTTGGAAAAACAAAAAATTAAATAGTTAAGTGAAAAGTGTTTCATAAAATGTTTTAACAATAAGAAAAGATGTCATTATACCTTTTCTTTAAATTATCTGTTAAAGGTTGTTATGAATCATCCAAACAAATGAATCATGATATATTGAAATATATATGCTTGTATATAAATTCGGAACATGGAAACATTTAATTTTCGCAAGCATAATATTCATGTTATGAATATTATTTACTAATTACATACTAAGTACATATATGATTACTCGTCGAGTGTCGCATATCATTAATGTGAACATTTATATCAATTACATCGTGGGAAAAACATATGAAATAAATTCAATTGTAGATCACCACATGATGCAGTCCGTGATGTTGCATTTCTTGAACAAATACTTGTCTGTTGTTTTATTTATGGTTTCGAAAGTTGATTGATTGATCGATTACTTTAAATTGAGATTATTAATATGATCACAAAAATGTTTATGCGTACGTCTCGAATTTAATAAAATCAGATAATCTTTAACCAACGTTCTGTATGTTGGGAGGAAAAGTTAATAATTTCACTATTTATTATAATGTATAATGTTAATATTGGAAAATAAGGATACACTTGATCTATAGTTTTTTCTGCTATAGTTGTTCAAAAAAAACCTTATAAGTAATTACCCATCTAAAAAAGAAATTGGTTGGTAGTTTTAGAGAGAAAGAAGTTCCTAGCTATGAAGTTTTATAGAGAAATGTCATTTAATAACATTAATAATAAATTACTTTTAGAATCACTCGAAAGCTCTCTGCCAATCGTCTACATCAAGTGCGTTTTGTGGTTGCTGCATATCGTAAATATTACCAGTCGAACATAAACTATAATATGTATTGATTTTATTGATTGGTTGACCGCAACCGTGCACCCACTTTGAAAGACACCACACAATTCGAATTTATAACATAATCATCAAAGTGTAAGGGATTTATATGTTTTTTCATTGTTACTTGGTTTAATTTTTTGGTAATTATTTGGATAGCGATCAGAACTTATGGCTAAGGGGGTGTCCATTAATCACGTGAGGTTTTTAGGGGGAGGGGGGGGTCTTAAATAACAAAATATCATCTGGGGGAGGGAGGGATATAGTAGGATATAACGTGTATTTATTTTTTACCTGAATTATTTAAAAAAATCTAAATATTTTACAATTTTTTCATATAACTAAATGCTTGATGTGATGCTTGGTCGGGGAGGGAGGTAATTTTGAATATTGCCATGGGGGAGGGAGGGGACAAAAATCCTTAAAAAGTCTATCACGTGATTAATGGACGCCCCCTAATGTGATGATTTGGCTTAACTAACTTCGGCTTGTATAAACGGCATGCCACACTATCTGTTCCTATCTCTATGTGATAAATTGTTGTTATTACAATTTCTGTAATAGTGATGATCTTTTATTGATGCAGCAACATCGAGCAAAAACTATTTTTACTTGGAAACCTATTGCTATCTATATTTCCAAGTCAAAACCGATGTCACTGCTGCTTGACATCAGGCTGCCCAAAGTGGGTTTCGAATTTTGAACCTCTGATTGAAAAATTTATTTTATTTCGTAAAAGAGGCCGTAATATAGTTAAATTCAGTAATATTTTTTTGTTTAAAATTTTATCATAAAGATATTTTTCATTATCCTTAAGATTTAAACATTGCTAATGACTTCGTTCTGCGCATCTGATTCTGTTTTACTAATTGATCCCTGAAAATAGTTCCATTGATTTTATTTTTTTCTTTTATGGCAGATATACATAATAAATTCACAGGATTGATTTAATAGCCTTGTGTTGTCCGTTGTCCGTTGTTGAAGCATCACTTTGGACATCCACATTTATAGCCTTCAACAAACTCCAATACGATTGTGCGAAAAACTCAATTGCGTTTTTGAATGATCGCAACCGATGTCCAAGAGGTGACGGCGGATGGTGGACTACAAAAGGTGGTTCATAAAATTACTCAGCAGCCCATAAAATTAGTCATCGATAAAACTGATATATAGCACTTTGAATTCTTTATAATATAGTCGATTGTGACTACAGTCACCTTTGCAGTGACTTTTTCATAAAATAAAAATAATACAATCAAAATATTTAGGTTGATCCGAGGAACAACAATCATGATTTTCAATCAGGACGATGCAATCCATGCATGGCATTTCTAAACCTACCTAATCGGATTCCTAAACACTTGCATCGTGAATTAACAACTTAAAATTTGAACCCAATCATGATTTGCAGTTTTACGATATTACCAATATGTTGGGATTATACATCCGTCATTGAACTAAAAAAACTTCTAAATTAAATTCTAAATAATTTTACGTTCATATAAGTCAATTTTTAAAACGGCTCTACGGCTCAATTTCTTCATTGTCAAGTTGATGAGATAATCAGTTTAGGAACACATCGAAAATGTTGGGTCGTAAACGAAAATGATATGGATGCAAAAGGCATCGGCCAACCAGTAGAATACTTAGTTGTTTTTTCAAATGCTGAGACTCGATTTTCTCCTGAGGCTTTATTTTACGATTGTTTTAAATAGCCGGCGATATAATTGACATGCCTTCGATAATTGACCGGGGCTTGTTCGGCTTTCATAATTGAGCCCTTTCGGATATCTTGAATTATACAATGAAATTTTTAGAATCGTACTTATTTGTTGGTCGGAAACGTTTTGATATTTGTGAAAAAATCAATCTTACCGGAAAGCGAACTTGTAATATAATTATACAAATAGTGCTGATAATTGGAGAAGATTACAAATAACATTCATGAACTAGACTACTGGGATATTACGTTTCAACTTTTATATAGAAGATAAATTTCATATTTGGAAAAATTACAATTGATCTTCAAGTATAATATATTTTCTTTTATTATTCGACATCTCCAAAATAATAAAGCACAGTTCTTCATTCCAAAGCACCGATTTGAATAGATATCATAAGTTAATTTTTGATTCATGATATGTTATCTAATAACAATTATATTGTCAGAATATGCATTGTATGTTTTCGAAGTATGTATAATAAAATTTATGTCTGACCTAATGCAATAGAATGTGCATCGAACAAATTCTCATTACTGTCACGAAGTACATGCTTCTAAGTAGGAATATTAATGGATCTTCTCTGCCATTTTAAAAGTAATGTATAACACTAGGCCATGAAATTTTATGGGGAATACTGCGATGCATTTTAATGCATTGCTTAATCCTATTGGCATTTGATTTTTATGACATACTGCCCGATATATATTATAGCAATATCAAATCGAGACTGTCACCAATTAACAAAAACAACAGCTAAATGATATCGGCGTACAAAATCGTGCAACATTTACAATTCCTTTGGACCATTGCCAAAAATTTACGAGCATTCACACATGTTTGAATTTGGACTTGCAATGTGCACTTTCATTCAGGACCGGTCGCGTTTACTATTTATTCAACGTTCACGCCTCGTCTCTAAATTTAAACTATATTAATCAAACCACATTAGAAATGGGGCGCCAAGAAGTTTCGACATCATGTGGAATAATAAATGGCAGTCGTTTTTTATAAACTATTAGAGGTAGATTTTGAACACATTTGTAGAATGAAAGATAATGATTTCTGAACTAAAAATCGTACACAAAATTATATAAAAATATATATCACATATTGAAATTTTGCTATTCTGTATATAAATCACAATCAATATGATTATAACTTATAATTTATAAGAGCATTTCAGGATGAACTATTTATACTTTTGTAATATATCTAATAGAGCACTAAATATTGAGTTTAGTTGCATTAGACTGAAAATATGAGTTGAGGTGATATTTTAACACGAGAGTGTTTTCCGCAGGAATGATACTGCTGTACAAGCTAGCAAACCACCCAAGTATTAGTTACACAAAATATTTTAAGATTTTCTCAACATTATCGATAAAAATGTAATCAAAAATTCAAACACTTCTAAATAACTAAAAACCACAATGACGAATTAGAACTCTCAATAATTTAACCCTCAGAGTGAATGTAGAAGTAAAAGTTGATGTCGTCTATAAGCGACACTTGTAGCGAAAGAGTTAAGTAAAGAGTTTTACTTTGGCTCTATTGTATACATTTGTGCAACGTGTTACGTTTTAAATACAAAGTTACTGTAACTTTTGTCTATTTACAAGAAAAATCTTTGTTTTTTTATCTCAAGTTATTGAACTATTTAGAATCGTCCATCCACCCATTCTCAAATAAAACATTTTTTCCAGTAAATCTATATATTTTACTGATATATCTATTATGTAAATATTGTTTGAAAGTAATGTGTGAATAATGCACATCTACTTTAGTAGATGTTAAATCTCTATTGAATTTCTATCTACTTTAGTGTTTCAAGGGTATAATTCTGTTCTGATCTTACGAAAATCAACTGCATTTTATTTGATACTGCTTTGTTATCAGTATAACGACTTTATTCATGTACAATTTCGACAGCATCGTTTTTATAATAATAATAAGCATTTCACGAAGCGTTTCTTACACGAGCCGTACACCTGTCTTGAATCGTACCTCTACCTGTTTGGTAGCCACTTGAATAATTATATATTATATTAGCTGCTTGTGAAAATATTAAGAATAATTTTTGGTTCGTGTATATTGGAAATATAAAATAATTTACAAAATATTAATATATTTTTTCTGTTTTTTACAGATTATCGAACAGTGCGGCCAGTTTGGCCGAGCTTCAGCTGCTGAGCGCCGCGTCGCGGAGAGTAGCGGCTGGCGTTAGTGTAGGAATGGCAGCCCCACCGCCGCCATCGCATCACCACCATCATGGCGGTCACCATGGACACCATGCAGACCCGCACTTTCATCCTGCATATAGGATTCCGCCAGGATACATGGATCATCTCTACTCGCCTGCCGCTTCTATTCATGGTAATAATTCAATTGCACTATATAATTGTTCTTCATTTTTTTTGTTTATTTTATCTACAAAATATACTAACATTTTTTTTTCAAATGCATGTCGCTTGCACATAATATCTTCTGCATTTTTCGACGTCGATGTTGTCAATCAATGTTAAATATGCATTTGGTTGTTATTCTTCGGAAGACTTGTTTATTTTTATCAAACCGCTCTAATATTCATCTATCATAAGAACGTTAATGTACTGCGGATGTCTATAGCAGGCTGCCCGCTGTTCTATTTGTAGCTACTCATACGAACACAACTTGAAGAAATGCATTGCCTTACATGACTCTACTACTGAAAAGTTTATTTTTATTTGAACGGTCTTAATATTTCATATGTTATCGTGCACTACTTACTTCAATTCGGTACTTTTTTTTTCTAAATTTACTCAGATACTTTATTTGCCTTTCAAAATTATTATATCATATAAGATTTGTTATGATTATTGCATATATTAATAATGATAAATAATTTGATGTGATTCAAAACTTGTATGTATTTTTTTGTAGGTCTAGGAATCGCACCAGATTTTCTGAGTTCCAGGGGGCTGAGCGAACTCCATGCTCCAAGTACATTGGCCTCAACAGATTTTCCTTTTAGTCTTGATGGTAAATACACATACATATATTTAGTTTTTTTCATTTAATTTTTTTTGCATATAAAAATTCAATTCATAACTATTTATTATTACTATTACATCAATTTGTAAATCCAAATGAAGTGGAAGCAATTTGTGAAACGGGTTAATAGATGTTCTTATCTTACGCTTATCCCGGACCGTTGACAATTTTTTTCTTTAAAAATTATTTGCAAGAAAACAGAAGCTAATTATGAATGTATTATTTAAATATTAATATTTTATAATAATTATATTATGTTTGTCATTAAGTTTATATGTTCGATGTTCTGCAGGATCTCGTCTGAACAGTCCGCGTCCAGGTAGCCTGAGGGCTAGTGTAAGCCGGAAGCGTGCTCTATCATCTTCTCCGTACTCCGATTCTTTCGATATTAATTCGATGATAAGATTTTCACCAAACTCTCTCGCCTCCATTGTAAATGGGAGCCGGAGCAGTAGTGCCAGCGGTTCTTACGGCCATTTATCCGCAGGTTAGTATAAGTTTTAAGAAGGTTTGGTATGAATCATATTTATCTAGAAAAAATTGTTGGTTTATCTTAACAATAAATAATTATATTACAATTATAGTATTTTTGAAATATTATTTTTACATCAGGTGCTATCAGTCCGGCTTTGAGCATGCACCCAGGAATGGCACCTCACATTCAACATATTCAAGCACATATTTTACGATCTGGTGGATTATTGCCTCCATTACACCCGCACTCTGCACATGGCACTCTGTTTTCTATGTCGCACCATCCTGTGCACCACGACTACTCGTTGGTCAAATCTGAGGTGAGACAATCATTTCTAGTATGATTATTAGCTGATTTCTTTTTATCATTTATCGAAATCATGATTCTATTGGTTGTTTTTATTTGATTTACAGATAATGCCCGATGTTTACAAGAAAGGAAGTCAAGGTGCGCCTATGGTCACCAACGAAGAACCAGACAGTGCTACAGCCTTATCCGGTACAAATGGTACTATACCTCCATCCGGTAAACTTTTGCGCGTTAAAAAAGAGCGACCTGCACCAGTGGCAATGTTAGATAATCAGACTAATGACACTGATTTGAAAGACGAACCTGGTGATTTCATAGAAACTAATTGCCATTGGCGTGAATGCGGACTTGAATTTTCAACTCAAGATGAATTAGTAAAACATATAAATAATGATCACATACATGCCAACAAAAAATCTTTTGTGTGTCGATGGGAAGATTGTTCGCGGGAAGAGAAACCGTTCAAGGCCCAGTACATGCTTGTGGTACACATGAGACGACATACGGGAGAAAAACCACACAAATGCACGGTATGAAAATATATTATCTTTTTTGAATTTCAGATATTTTTTATTACCTTATAACATAGTCAATGAAGAACTTTTTCTGGCTTTCAATCCAATTTAAATTTTCAATGAAGCAACCAAAACTTATAAGTCGCGCTTACGATTCTCTATTATGTTTTCTTTGAATCAAATAATCTCTGCTATCAATAATTTATATTTTTTATTATTTTAGTTTGAAGGATGCTGCAAAGCATATTCTCGTTTGGAAAACTTGAAAACTCATCTTAGATCGCATACAGGAGAGAAACCATATATGTGTGAATATCCAGGATGTAGTAAAGCCTTCAGTAATGCATCTGATAGAGCAAAACACCAAAACCGCACACATAGTAATGAAGTAAGTTCATAATATAACATAAAATATATATATATATATATATATATATATATATATTTGTACTTTTTAAGATCATATTTTATTTTGTCATTTCTTATTGCTTACTCTTGGATAATGTGTTGGTAAGATAGTTTATTATTCATTCAAAATTGAGTTCTTTGCTTATTAAATTATTTTATTTCAGAAACCTTATGTCTGCAAAGCTCCGGGATGTACAAAACGTTATACTGACCCAAGTTCCTTACGAAAACATGTCAAAACTGTGCATGGTGCCGAATTTTATGCCAACAAAAAGCATAAAGGTGGAAGTAACATGGACAATAATTCTGAAGATGGTGGCAATGGAAACCCAATAGATTCCAGTCCAAGAAGTGAAGATATGAGTGGAAAAACAGCCAGTCTTTCGAGTCCTAGCATCAAATCTGAATCTGATGCGAATTCGCCTGGAGTTCAAAACCATGGTAGTCCTATGGGTTTGACTCATCTCACAGGTGCCGAAGATTACGATGCTAATGGCGCTTTACCGTCTATGGGATCTGTTTCTGCAATGGATGATCCTAATTGGCCTTACGAAGATGAGGATTTAGAGGTATAAACTAATTTACATTATAAAAATATCAACATTTATATTGAACATTTATAAACATTTCAAATTTATTTCAGATTGGTGTATTACCAGTTGTTTTACATGCAATGGTTGGGCTTGGTGGAGATAGGTCTAGTGGTATTGTAGATGGTCATAATTCAAGAAATAGATTAAAATCACGGTTGCAGTCTAAAATGGGACTAAGTCTGAGTTCAATAACATCAGGAGGTATAAAACTCAGAAATAATTTATTTGCATATTCTATATTACTTTTTATATTCCTTATAAATAATATAATGATATTTGTAGTTCCTGGACCTCGGCGTAACATTGGTATAACTGATCTAAATAGAAGAATCAATGACTTGAAAATGGAATCTGGCACACCTACTCCCAAACCTACTTCATATATGGCTGCAGATGTACAAACAAGACTCCTACCACAAACTCAAATCAATAGAAGAGACAGTAATAATTCAACTGTTAGCAGTTACTATGGAACAATGAGCAGAAAATCAAGTCAGACATCTCAAATTTCTGCTATTTCTACAATGAGACAAGGTAAGAAAAAATTTTTACGACTCATTGGTTGAAATTACGGCAACCATGTTATCTTATTTTTATTTGATCATCAGGTGGAGCAGTCTCGTCATTTTATGATCCTATATCACCAGGTAGTTCTCGCAGATCAAGTCAGTTATCTACAGCCACCAATGGTGGTGCCAGTCTTCCACCGCCTCCTTCTTCTCATTTAATTGCATCTCATTTGCAACGCCTTCACAATACTGGACCTTATTCTACTTCCAATTTAGTTCTCCAGGTAGTTATCCAATCAATTCTAATGTACTTTCAATATATATATATATATATCATAATAATTTATCTGATTTTTTTTATTTTCTAGACACAAAATATGTCTCTCCAACAAAATTGGAAGATTGGTTTTAATGAGGATCAAGTTCAACCTTCAGCATCTGAAAGAAAATCACCCTTGAACAAAAATCAACAGCAAAAACCAATTACACCAAAGCTAGACTTAGAACATCCTAATCAAGAAGTAGTTCTTGATGAAGTAGGAGAGGGAGAAATGGTTGAAAATAAATTAGTAATTCCTGATGAAATGGTACACTATTTGAATCAAGTGGCTGAGACTTCTGAACAACCATTCTCAGGCTCTGAGCAAACAGCACAACAGCAATATAATTCATCAGCTGCTATTGATCAAAATAGTACTATTCAACAAACTAAAAGGGTGGAACAAACTAATTCTACAAATACATTCAATACGGAATATATAAATCCAAATTGTACGAATAATATGAATGTTAATACAAACATGAGCCCCAATCCAAGGCTAATGAGCCCTAATTCTAACATTCTAAGTCCAAATGCTAACATTATAAATTTAAATTCAAACATAATGAGCCCTAATTCAAACCTGCTTAGTCCAGGTTCTAATATAATGAACCCAACGTTAAATATGATGAGTCCTAATTCTAATATATTGAGTCCTAATACGAATGTGATGAGTCCTTCATCAAATATGAGCCCTAATGCAAATATGAGTGTTATGAGCCCAAATACAAATGTTTTAAGTCCAAACTCTAATATCATGAGTCCAAATACAAATATAATAAATGCAAATAACATTGCAAGCCCGAGTTGTAATATTAACCAAAATACAAATACAATAAATACTAATAGTATTTTAAACACAAACACAAACGTAATGAGCCCTAATTCACAAATGATTAATTCAAATACCAATACCATAGTAATGAGTCCTAATTCGCAAATGATAGGATCAAATACTGTTCCAAATGTTGTAAATGCTCAAACATCAACTATTGACCCCCAAAACTATAATGGTGCCAGCAACCAAAATAGTACATTAGATCCCGCAAAGGTGCATATTCGCAATCGATTAGGATATAATTCAAATAATTGCCCTATGGCGAATAACAGTTTTCCAATGAATCATTACTCTCAAATACAGCAATCTTTATGTGCAAACACAGGCAATAATTGTACAAATGATATGCCTGCCTCAGGAAATTTGTGTTCAAATAATACAAATCGCAATCCTAATGTAGCATTGAATAATTGTCATGACAAACATCAAGAAAACAGTTTTGGTTACTGCAACGATATACAAAAATCATCAACACATCAAATGAATCCCAATTTGAATGTTAGACCATGTCAGCACATACATGGATATTATCATAGGACGGATTACAGTGCAAGCAACTGTTGTGTTATGAACCATAATTGTATCGAGCAGCAAATGCCATTTAAAAATATGGCTCAGAAACAAAATTTCAGCAATTGCTATAGCAATAACGAAATACAGTGCAATGATATAAGTCAATCACAAATGTCTCCAAATATGCCAAATGTAAACAACTTTGGCACAAATAATGTTACAAATAATCCTGAACAAAATCCAACCCCAGTCCAGCAAGGCCATCCGGAATCTCAGGTGGGAATGGCAGCAAATAATGGACAAAATACACACAATATGCGACCTGATACTTACTTAAGAACTTTAGAATATGTACAAAGTTGTCAGAGCTGGAATTACAGTGATAATGAATTAGTTTCATCTACAACAAATCCTTTAACAACATCAAATATGGTCATTAATGATCTAACTACATCCTTGAATTCATTGCTCGAAGAAAATAGATTCTTGCAAATGATCCAATAATTCATGGCATTGATAATTATTTCCAATACTTAATTAATATTAAAGTGGCAATTTTATATAGTTAATATCTAATGTATTATAGTAGTTGTAAGTAAAATTGAATCAAATAAGTTATATATATCAAGCTGAAATGAATAGAAGTAATAATTTGAAACTATTGTAACATTAAGGTTCATGATATTACGAATTATTTCTACAATGTATTGTAAAATATTGCAACAAATTTAAACAAATCAAATGGTATATTTTATATATAATAAATATAAGTTTTATTAATGAAGTTTAATAATCAAAAATATTTCATTTCAACAATGAGAAAATTAAATAAAATAAAAAATGAATAAATTATCTAAAGGATTTATTATTATTTGTGTGATACTGTATGTTAAAAATGTGTTATTTAAATAAAACTAACGATCATACCTTGTGATAAAATCAGATATTTATTCTGTAGTCACAACTTGCTATCTACACAGGAATACTTATACTAAAAATATCCAACTAATTAAATGATTTTTCTATTGTGTTCTTAACTGTATGTTACAAAATAAATGTTAGACATATAACCCATAAAACCAATCTTTATATATTTAACTTTAACAATATTTACAAATAAATACAAATAAACAACTTTTCTTCAACAATTTATATGGTACAAGTATATGAAATAGAAATATATTTTTAAACACTTAACATATATATTAAATACAATACATATTCACAGATATCAGACGTGGCGCAGATTTCTTGTTCGTTTTAGAAAGTTGAATGGATTATATATCATTCTGAATATAATAATTTTTTTAATTTAAGATAATGGACCAACATTTTACATGATCAAGAAAACCTGGATTCTTATATAAACCTTTGGTCAAAATAAAATTGGACCACAGTGCGATATTGAACATATTATAAATATAATACTGTAGTAATCGATAGAAATAAACCAGGGAGCCGATCATGATTTCATATATATAGATGTTACAATTTTAAAGAAAGTACGGTGTCCATTAATAACATATGTGGTGTTGACATGTAAACTAGCATTCATTCATCATATCACTTCTGAGCAGGAATGTTAAAATTAATATTTAGCTTGCACCTTCTCCCATGTGTACTTTTGATGTCTGTGAAAAGAATACAATAAACCATATATTTCAATAAATCGAGATAGTTCTAATTAAATTGTTATCATCACTCATTTCAAATTTATGCGACAGAATCCTAATACCATTGCCGTTCTATGAATAATAAATATACGGCAGTAGCTAAAGGACTGCAATACATTTATATAAAGTACGTTTACAATATTTGTAAAACAAGTGTCTAGCAAAATTTGAATCATGCAGTCATAAATTACCATATAAATGCCAACAATTAAACCAAATAGACCAATAGCAGAACCAAAGATTTCAACAATGAGAATTTTGACAAATAGTGCAGAATTGGCAGCATCAGCAAGAGCTGCTCCAGATCCAACAATACCAACAGCGATACCTATAACATTGTTGTAAAATCAATCATTCCAATTAAATTAGGTAATTTTCATTATTATGTATTACCGCAGAATAAATTCACAAGACCAACAGCCAAACCAGCTCCAAAAAGAACATAACCACCCATCCAATTTGCTTCTTTATATCCTGCTTTTTCAAAAACAGATTTGTCTGTGTATTCCTATGAAGTAAATTTCAGTTCAGATCACAATTCAATTTATAATATATGAATTTAAAAACTCATATTACCGCTAACAGTCCTGACAGAACAATTGCTGTAATTAAACCATAAATAGCAACAGCTTCACAGAAAATAACTGAAATTAAGTTTTTTGTTTTGATTCTGGGCGCTTTCACACCACCTCCTACAATGGATGTGCCTGTGGTATGAATTCCACTAAAAATACGAATATCGTATTACTTATTTTCAAATTATTAATACAGTTAATGAAAGAGGAAAACTATCTTACACAGCTGCTCCAACAACTGACAATGCTACGGATAAACCAATTCCTAAGGAGCCCCACATATAGGGTGATGTGCTCTCCAAAAACCTGATAAATGATATAATTTTGAATGAATTATATTTTTTACTAATGAAATATATATTATAAAACTAACCAGCCAACATTGACACGTTCACCTTTGCCAGTAAGTACATGATATAACACTGAAAACAATAGGTAATGTAAAAACTAAGTAATTTGCAATAGTTTAATAATCACTTTTTCAATTTGTTAAAACATACCCAAAACTGTAATTGTAGCTGTAGCTGTACCTACAAAGGTATATCCGAGCGTGTACCTCATTTTTAATATTTTGAATCACTACTAAATAATAATATATTAAAAACGAGTCTTAGCTCATTCAATAAATGAATTTTATGAAAAAGCCTCAACGAGGGCGTAATATTGATCATATGACATGCATATGACCCGCTTGACAGGACTGTTGATTTTTGGATCAGGCACATCTGGTGAGAAAAGGAGACACTAACTGAGATTTTGCGTCAATGGTTGGTACGAGTAAATTTGAGTAGAATTTCAAATTGCGTTGTTGGGCCCCCTGAAAATTCTGACAAAGCAGTTTCATTGATGACAGTAATTTAATGATACTAAGCTAACCTTGTGTTTGGGTTTTGTTCAATTTGCGGCAATTTTTACGATTAAATATAATCGATTGTTCGCATTTAGTTTTATACATTTTAAATCTTTTCTTCACAGTCTTCACTGCTTAATATAAAATGGTATCTAAACTATAGTATACACATTTCTTATATAGTACATGTTTGAAGTTAAAGTGAATTCAATCTAATATTTTTTTTGGCATTATTACAAACGTTCGAATATATTTAATGCTACATTATGTTTATCTATTTATTTTCAGAGTATTCTAGGTTATAATGGTGGTTGTGTGCTAGCCATGAAGGGCAAAAATTGTGTTGCAATTGCAACTGACCACAAATTTGGTATACAAGGAATGACCATTGGATTGGATTTTCAAAAAGTTTACGAAGTTGGTCCTCACTTGTATGTAGGTTTACCTGGACTCGCAACTGATACTCAAACAGTATTTGAAAAACTTCGCTTCAGGTAATTATCTATTTTATTTAAATATGTTAACTCTAATTGTTTCTAGTAAAATACAATGTTCTCTTGATCCCTTTATTTACTCGGATTACACTACGTTCTCTATTATACATATTAAACAAGAGAACATAATATATAGAGTAGAAAACATAATATGTATAATAAAGAATGTGGTCTAATTCGAGTAAATGAAGTGATCAAGAGAACATTGTGTTTTAATAGAGGCGATTAGAGTTAACAAATATGTAATTTAATTTTTATTGAAATCAATTTTATTTGACTCAAATGTATGATTAGGAAAAACTTGTATGAATTACGTGAAAATAGAAAAGTATCACCCAAAACATTCGCACATATGACATCAAATTTCTTATATGAGCATCGATTTGGACCATATTTTGTAGAACCTGTTGTAGCTGGTTTATCAAAAGATACATATGAACCATATATCTGTGCTCTGGATTTAATAGGTGAGCTAAACAAATTGTTTTTCTCTCTCTATTTTGTATTACCAATATTTTTCGTATTTAGGCTGCAAAAGTGAATGTGAAGATTTTGCTGTAAGTGGTACATGTACCGAGCAACTTTATGGAATGTGTGAAGTTTTATATGAACCTAATTTGTCTCCTGATGATTTATTTGAATGTGTATCTCAAGCACTTATGAATGCTTTTGATAGAGATGCTGGTTCAGGTTGGGGTGCTACAGTACATATAATGTAAGTATTTTTCTGTGTAAATATGATAAAAGCAGAAATGATTTTAATATTTATGAATCAATTTAATTTCAGAGAAAAAGATAAGGTTACAACCAGAAAACTTAAAACCCGAATGGATTAATTCTTTTTTTCAACTTCTAATTAAATATACTATTATCCGATAATGCAGTAATAGTATCAACATATTTTTAATAAAGCACAAAAACAATTACATTTTTTTTTTCATTTCACTTAATTTGTTTATTTTTGCATGTTGGTCAATACTGCTCTTCTTAATGACAACCATCAGAAATCGATTATTAATGTTGTTGATTACGATTTTGTTATAACCGAATCATGGTTTTAGTAATAACTGTTTTACATGTTTTCAGTCAAAAAGAGATCTTCATGCTAAGGCCTGCGTTTGATTTACTACAGCATGCCCAGTGTTTTTTGATATATATTTCTTTTTAATTTTTGCTAATTTATAATCAAACCTAGGAGATTTGAATTGTTAACAGTAAAAGTAATTTGGAAACATGTTTTTCACAATTGTGATTTGAATTTGTCTTATCAAAAACAACTATTTATATATAATATTTTTTATATACGTCTGATAGCAATATCTTGAAACAAGTTTTTCAATACCATTATTTTTTTTATTAACTAAATAAATATATAACCAACAACTATGTATTGGCTCTATATCAGTACTCTATACTATTATATAATTATACCAAATTATTTGAGTATTTTGCTCATTTGTTAAGCAAGATCATTAGTTATTGTTAAGTAATTTTTTTTTTTATTTTTGGATTGCGTTTCACTGCATAAGCATGTTTATATGCTGCTTATAAAATTCACTCTTACCTAAACTTTAAAGCATAAAAATTTTAATTTTATTTTTAATATTCGGTAGGGTGCCAAATTTTAGGAAGTTGCTCATAACATGTAGGATAACATTTGCACTAAAATAATTATACATACACGAATTTAAACTCACTATGAATCTATGAATTTAGAAATAGAATTTATATTATATAGTATATTTATATTATATGTACAATATATAAATAGAATTTGAACTATATTATTAGTTTAAATTCGTTACCATTCCTGCCTGCTATTATATATAATAAAAAATTATCAAGTGTACTACGAATCTTCAAAACTAGCATGCTGTTGAATTTATAAATTATAATTAGATGGAGCGCGGAAGTGTAAGTTAGCTAATAATTATTATTAGTAAATTAATTAATTTTAAGCGATATAATAATAATTATTAACTTCCCGCAGGGTAGTTATAGTAATGAGCCGAAAATCGAAAATGAATATTTTTGCATTTCTCCACGTTTTGAAGGTTTCTGAATTTTGGCATACCTCAGAAAAAATGGATGTGTGTGTGTGTATGTATGGATACAATTTTTCGTCCACGTTTTTGGGCGCACGGATCAACCGATTTGAATGGTTCAAAAAACATTCGATTTCTATTGATAGGGAGATGTACTGAGTAGTTTTTGGCAAAGGTAGGTCCAGCTGTTACGGAGATAAAGAGCAAAGAGTGGAGAAAATAGAAATCGAGTTTTTGAGAGAAAGGAGCATCCGATTTGAATGATCAAAAAAACATTCAATTTGTAATGATTGGGAGGAGTGGTGATGAGTTTTTGGCAAGACGACAATACAGAATTCATAATATGTTTGAAAACATTTAATATACCTCGAACATTTCGTTACGGTACGGCAAGTTCCAGCAATTTGCCTTAACGCACGTTGCCATACACCAATAGTTAAATAATGTAACATAGATACTAAAAAATGTAACAGTTTGCGCAAATTATATTACGAATATATTATATTCTTATATTGTTTAGGAATGATCCTAGACAATATACTAATGATGATGAGGAATGATTTTGCTCACGTCCGTTGAATTTATACATCATAACAACATTGCAATACTTATTTATCCATGACAACAAAATGAACAGATCATATTTTACCGATTACATTATTATGTTGGCATTTGTTTGTTAATATGATACAGCAAACATTAGCGTTAATCACCCGTTAATAACGATATAATCATAATCGCATAAGATGTTTATATGCTTTTCTTTTATCCATGTTTATGATTTGTTTTATTTATCCATGATTATGATTATGATTATGATGTGTCATATTAAAAATCTTTATTTCATAGTAGCATGTAGGGTTAACAAGTGCCAAACAAGTTGAATGGTAACGTTGTCATGACAGTACGACACGCTACAATAAATGCGCTTTTAATCAAAGCTGGCGCGCTTGCTGGCAATGGTGGCAATGCGAGAAATGCACACAAACCCGCTATATTCCAAGTGGCCCCGTCACGGCAATATAGAATAAACACATAACAAAATGGCTACTACACACTACACTACTTATGCATAATCATCACAAGATATAACATAAAATAAAAACAATCGCAGTAGCTGTGTCATTACTCGCTTGCTCTATTGCGAGTTATTTGTTTGAATTAAGTGAATATTATAGTTTGAAAAAAAAATGTTGATTACTTTCAAAAATTTGCAGCAACAAACGTTTCAAATTGAAATTGAAGAAACTAAGACGGTATGGGATCGTTAATAAATGTTATATTAATGTATTAAACTGCTACGTGCATTGTTCATTTGCGTCAAAACTGTGTTTTTTATATCTGTATGGATTTAAGCTTTAAGATTTAATTTTATAATAGTCATGTTTGTGTTAGGTTATGTTTTATGTGATAAGCAAAATAATTATTGTTCATGTTATTACCCTTTCGTAGGTGAAGGAATTAAAAGAAAAAATAGAAAATGAGAAAGGAAAGGATTATCCAGCCGGACATCAACGCCTTATATATGCAGGTATGTACTTGCTTTGTTTATGCAAAATTTGTCCAAATGATTTGCATTATTTTGGAGTCATTACACTTCAGTTCTACACATTCATTTTTTAAACGTTAATTGTGGAAGTATACTAAAATTACATTAAATAATGTTATAATATTATTTATTATAGTATTTTTTGTTTTTATTTGAATTTAGTAAAAATTTCAGTGTGCTCGATAGACTGTAGTCAACAGCTGATACTGTTATCAACAGAATAATCAACAGCTATTTGAAATAAATATTTTAATGATAGTAAATAACTATAAATTTTGAATTTTTATTTATAACTAATTTTTAGTTTTAACTTTTTGCAAATTAGTCAAAATTATTAATCATTTCATCTATAATATTTTAAAATGTGATAGCAAATAAAATAAATGATTTAAAATTTATAAACTTGATGAAAATTTTTCGTACTCTGCAGACTGAATGTCGGACATCAGTCACTCATTGCTTTTAATGGACTCTCTCGACCCTTGTGTAATTATATTTCGAATTGTTTGATATGTGACACATGTCTAAAAAAAATATCCATTGAATATCTAAAATTCTCATAATTATAATTTTGAAATATTATTTCTTTGTATTGATATATTAACTTAGAACTAATTCTTTTTTTTTGCGATTTAGTTTTGCTATTAATATACTGATATCTCACTCGATAAATGCTTGGATATGATATAAGAGTTAGATCGATTATGTTTTTTATTTGGCAGTTTATCATTAACTTTTGGAATTGTTGTATTTTAGGAAAAATTCTCAATGACGAGCAAATTATTAGTTCTTATAATATAGATAATAAGAAATTTGTGGTTGTTATGATTGGTAAACCAAAATCATCAGAAAATGTTACAAGTACTCCAGTAGTGCCTTTGCCCGCGGCGACACCAGCCACTCCAGGAGATCAGCCAACCACACCAGAAAGGTAATTTTAATATGTTTTAATTGAAGTTATGTAAAATTAATAAATAATGTTCTGTTGGAATTTTCAATTATCTGGCAAACTTTATTATTTAAAATGCAAAGACTTAGATATTAATTTCTTTGAAATAATGTTCATGCAATTGTAACTTATCGTATTATTTTCAGTGCTCCTGAAATTCCTCCTGCTACAGAGTCTGCTCAAGGTGAGCAGGTACCTCAACCCGAACCTGCAAATGCAGAATCAGCATTATTAATGGGTGATGATTATCAAACGATGGTTCAAAATATAATTGACATGGGTTATAGTCGAACACAAGTAATACAAATTTTTATATGAAATTTCATAGCTGTTTTGAATATGATTATTGAAAATAATTGTTGAACATAGGTACAACAAGCGCTACGAGCTAGTTTCAATAATCCAGATCGAGCAGTGGAATATCTAATAACTGGAATTCCTGATCAAATATTTGATGATGCAGTAGATTTGGAGGGAACAGTTGGCCAAATAAATGCTACAATTGATACCAGCTCTGATAGTAAGTTTTTATTGATTTCATCCTTTTTGTTTTATTTTTGTTTTGTTATGTATGATTTTTGTCTTGATTAGATTCTGAGCCATTGGCATTTCTACGAAATCAACCTCAATTTCAACAAATGCGATCAGTTATTCAACAAAATCCGAGTTTGTTGAATGCTGTTCTTCAACAGGTAAAAAGAATTTCTTATTTACATTATGATAATTTGTTTGAAAGGAAATAACTAATGTAATTTGATGAAATTAGATTGGTCAAACAAATCCAGCATTGCTGCAACTTATCTCACTTCATCAGCAATCGTTTGTTCAAATGTTAAATGAACCTATTAACACAACTGCACCTAGTCAAAGTTCATCAAACCCAGGTATGCCATGCAATATTTCAAAATATTTTTTTTATCCTCAACTCTTATAAAGCAGTATAATCATTCTAAGTACATGGTTTCTCGAAGTTTTTGTAAACTATTTTGGGAGTATCATAACTATGGTATCCGGTTTGTTTCTAATCATTAGTAAATATTACTAGTTCAACTTAATGCCGATTATGCAAGTTCAAATTGATGTGATATAATGAATATATTGATTTTTAAATCAAATTAAATTATGAATTAACATCTAATTTGTTTAATAAATGTTCAGAACAGAACTTAGTATTCAAGTTTTGCTAAGAAATTTGAAGACATTAAGAATTTGTAAAGCTCAATAATCTAATCAAATCATAATTTCATATATATTTACTTTGCTCTTATTCAATATAATGTATAATTATTTGTTTTTTTTTTTTATTTTCAGAAAGTAGTCCCCAGGAATCAAATTTGGCATCAGTAGCTGAAACTGCAGCCCCTACGGAAGAAGATCTAGTAGAGATTACGCCACAAGACAAACAGGCTATAGAAAGAGTAAGTTCTGTCTTTTCTTAAAAATTTTGCCTTGATTGAATAAAAATAAATTCTTGTTTTATAAAATATTGACAATCTTTCTTAACACCTACATGGAAGTCTGTCTAATAGTCATTTATTATTTAACTTTTCAGTTGAAAGCTCTTGGCTTTCCAGAACACATGGTCGTGCAGGCATATTTTGCATGTGATAAAAATGAAAATTTAGCTGCTAACTTTTTGATATCACAAATGTACGACGACTAATATTTTGTTAAGTTTTATCTTTTTTTGTGTAAAGTTTATTTTTGTAGCTCTTCAAATTATTTAAGGAATTGTTTATATATGCAACTAATCAAGTAATTTATTAGAACATACAAATATATATATATATGTAAGTATATACATATATGTATATGTATGTAATATATATTTTAGTACAAGTCTGGAATACTATACTTAAAGCTGTAGAAACTAAATTATAATAAATATTAGGCTGGTCTTAGCCGTTGTTTGTAATAATTTAGTATAAATAAATAAAATATTAAATTCAAACAGTAACATACATAACGAGCAATTGTGTACAGCAGCTTGCTATGCCTTGTTAATACATACAATTTCATAAAGTGTTCATTGTTATTATTGAACACTCAGATTGTGTTTAATTGTACAATTTCTAATATATATTTTTATCAGAATTATCAAACTAAACGGAGTCAGTTTAGCGATTATTAAAAACATGCATTTCAAATCATATGAAAATTGTATCAATTTTGAAACATATTCCCCAGTCTAAGTTTCTGCTATTTCTATTTTGTTAGATATTCTTAAGTTGAATAAACCGTTATTTAAATTATGGTGTACATGAAATATGCAAATTGAGAGTGAAATATTATGATATTTGATAGAGCTAATAATTATTTATGAATTCATATTTATATATATCAAACATTTTTTAACATCGTATAATATAAATATATCCTTGCTCTGTATATAGCGTTTAAATCTAGTTATTTTGGTATAATATTAAATAGGAATTATGAATGAATACTACAAACATATATACATTTATTTAGACTATTTGAATAACCAGTGTTGCACAACTTAAGACAGTGGCATTACAGCTAATAATGCTACATGTTGTGTTTATAATTATGAATTTTAATTTTATTACCATATTACATACTTCTGAAAAACTTAAAACTTCAATATTACTAATAATATAGTAGCAAATTATAGTATATATGAAGGAATGTCAAATAATATGCTTATGCAGCTATTATAGTAAAAATAAGTTGTAAGCGTTCATAATTGTGAGTGCTCATTACATATTTCTATTTTGCTTACTGAAGATGCGTATTTTTTTACTGTGAATTACAGATAGGTAATATTAAACATTTGTAGTACTATTAACTTTACTATAATAATGTTTTTACATTGCAAATAGTTAACTTATCTTCTGTATCTTTTGTCATTGCTTTACTATTGCCTATTTGAACTATTATCTGTAAATAAACTTCATTTGTGTTATAATGTATTGTATTTTTGAATATTTGCAACTTAAGCACAATATTAGGTAATGGGGTAATTATTATAATATATATAATAGTAGTCCTAAAAAAACAGTAATTGTATAAGAAATTCTCTAGTCCAAGCCATACTGTCTTATATGAAAGATTAGTGATAACAAAAAATCAAAAGTATCTCTGCTGTTTATATGCAATAGTATTCTAACATTTATATTATTATTTTTATTTTAAATGGTTCAGATGGCAATAAGTGTAAATTCTTAAAAGGCAGCATGGTTTGCTATTTTGGAAATTTTCAAAACTTAGGGTTTATGTGTGTACAGCGGCTGGTTTGGGTTAATAATATGCATCTGGCAAAAAAGATAATTAGTGCATGGAAAAAGTAGTTATTCAACAATTTTAATGATAAATTTGAATTTGTTTTTACAGAAATATCTAAACAGTTATTAAGAAATTATTTTACAGCATTTTGTTCAGTGAAGACTTTCTGATAATTTAAGCAATCTGATTTGTTCAGTGATGAGTTTTATATGCTATAATTAACTTTGTATCAATAAGTCTTTTGTTATCTTTTTTGTCTCTCTCAAATAATGATTCTGAGAATGATTTTATTGTAAATATTTTGGTATATAATGAATTGTTTTTTTAATAACTGTTTTTTACCTGCTGATCATTGAATTATATAAATAATCTTGAACCTCTTACCAGCCTGCTATTTTGCTTTAATTTACTGCTTCAAACATTTTTATTTCAAAATTTATAATGGATAAATAATGATGAACTGTTACAAAATGAACTGTGCAATATTTTAGTCTTAATTTTTATATTAAAATTTTGTTTTGCATATGAGTTTCATATTAATTTTACGTTCTGGACGGACAAGAAATTATCTATCACGTCATTAGAATGCTGAAATTCCAATTCGCGTTCGTGTTCCAGTCCGTGTTGGCGCCATAACCCGGATAATACACTATTATGTTAATGTCGTACAGTCCATAGCCGAAAATCAAATTCCAGAAATTCATCTTATTTGTTTACAATCATATACTACAGAAGAATATACGTCCTTGATGACCTTCTCAGAATAGTTGACCTGTTGAGGTCAATCCCAACCGGTATTGGAATTTGCGTCGACTGTGCTATTTATGCAAATAACCACGACAAATGTGAAAAAAATTCCGAGAGTTTAATCTAATCAGCATTAGAATTAAGTTAAAAGTATGTTTTTTCAAGATTTATGAAAAATAACTCAAAAGTTTTATTTGAATCTTTCAAGTAAATTTAATTTTTATCCTTGATATCACAGCCTACAATGTGTATTTAAGTAGGCTGATTCTCTCATACAAATGCGAATAATTTCATAGCTGTACAAGCGTTTAAGGGGGTATACTGGCGTAGAGTTTGAAAAATTCGATTTTGTTTGTTTTATTTTGATATATTCCAAGTTTAACTCAAAAATATGTGCATATAAGGATTTTGCAAATTTTAAATTATTTTCGGAGATATTGCTGTTTGATCACGATAACCTTCCTCTGTTTCCTTCTTCTGAAACTTTTAAAGTGTTTACTCGAAACTGCCTTTTTTCGATACGATACCCACGATTACTCAACTCCTACTGGAACGATTTACTTGAAATTTTTACAAAGTCTTTCTTTACAGACTTTTTTCAGTGTGAACCTCGTCATCCCCAGATTCTGATCTTTTACAATTTTTGAAAAAATCGAGAATATCAAAAAAAGTTGTAAAGAAAATGTATTATTTGAAAAACATTTTTTAACTTTTCCGTAGTTTATACGATTGCATTATTCTAGATTAATAAAAGGGCTAAAATCATGGGTATGGTCAGGTACCAATTTTTTGAGACCTCCCACTTCATCACCTTCTAGAATTAAGTTCTCTTAAAACTTTATGGCTATTTTTACTTTTTACTTCTTTTTTATATTTAATCAATTCGAAACAATGGTTAATCAACCCTCCTGACTCGGAGCTCCGGCGGCAAAATTCATATAAATCTCGGAATTTGCGATTGGAAAGTGTTCATTGTAAAATAAATATAGTAAAAATATTGTTTGCCTACTTTTTACGGCTTTTTAAAAATTGCATAAAATTCATGCCTCTAGACAAGGGCTTCTTAAATTTTTGTCCTTCGCAACCCCATTTACGATTGCGAGTTTCCTGACGACCCCACACATATAAAAAATTAAATTAATATTTTTAAATGATTTATTTATTTGGTATACATATACATTATGAAAATATATAGTTTGAGAATTTGAGACATTATGTTATAATATGATATTTATAAATATTTGATATTAAAATCTCTCGCGACTTAGACCAGAATGCTCCCTTAAGAAGGCGTACTCAATAAACTCACGACAAGTGTTTAAATTAAAAATATTCAATTTTAAAGCACGAAGTAAAAATGTTTGGAATAAAATATTTATGTACACCTGTATACAATTACAGATATTATAGTTCAGTCATTTAAGCTTAAGTAAGAATCTCGGAATTCAAGATACCCAGCTGTAAGTGTGTAAATACTTGTATGTTGACACTAAAAAGTTGTCTCAAAACCTACATAGGTACACCCTACCATATGTAGGTTTTGAGACAACTTTTAAGTGTCAATATACAAGTATTTACAGCTGGGTATCTCGAATTCCGAAGTGAACTTACTATAATGACTGGACCATTATAAGTTTATTTGTATTTGATAGAATATCGCATTGATTTAGTGAAGGCGAAAACTTTATTTTTGAAATAAACAGTTGAAAATTTTATCTAAATAGCTGTAAGTATCGATACTTACATTAAGATTAAGTTGATTATTTACAGATGGCGGGAAGTTCATGCAACTTTCCTTAAGAACGCCACTTACAACTAGTTTATTTAGTGTAGCAACGTACGCCTACTAATAGATAATAATAGAATGTTCTGCAGTTTGGTGTTATCAATTGCCGCCCATGAGGCCATGAGTGTCTTTCGTAATTTATTGATAGACGTTTAAGTATGTGCGTGTGTGTTTGTGAATTTTTTTTTTTGTAATAAGTGCATTATCATGAATATGACGATTATCCATGTGGTGAGTGAATATTTCAGTATCATTTCATTTACTTTTTAATTGCATGTTCAATTCTGCTTGAGTTACACATTATTCGACAAAATGTTTGTTTCAAAATTTTTGGCTTTAACTCGTCATGCGAAAGTCGTATTGTTTACGTTCGATGATAATTGCATAAACTCTCTTGGCAAAGTACTATTGTTTATAATACTTCGCTACATCAAATATCACTCCATAGAAAGAGTTCGCTAAAATCCCCAAAAAATCTATTAAATATACATATAAAATTAAGAACTCGAGTTCTTAATTTTATATGTATATTTAATAGATTTTTTGGCGATTTTGGTCTTACGCGTATCCAACATATGATAATGTTAATAAAGAAGTAAATATTAGTGATACATTTTTTAATTTTATAAAACAAACCTATAATTTTCATCCAATCAATATCTATGTGATTGATGAAAATACTTTTCTTGGCTCGATTTTGAAGACTATGGGCTGATTAAGGTGCCCCAGTTAACTTTTTAACCAGTTAACTGTGGCACCTTCATAGTCATCAGAATCGAGTCATGACGTGTATATTTGTCAACTACATGGTTGTGCTGGTAAGATATTGGATTTATTTAGAAAAAATAATTTTATTATTAATATTTACTGCTTTGCTCAGCATGTGCATATATTGGATAAGATAAGCTCATAAGAAAATTGCCAGAAATTCAAATAAATATACATACAAAATTAACTCTGTTTTATTAAATATTCGATACGTATAAGACTAAAAATTTCATAAACTCAATGGGGAAGGGTTGGATTAATCACGTGATCGATTTTTAAGAGTTTTTGGACTTTTGGTGATACGTG